CTCAAGAACGGAGGGGGAGGGGGGGGGCGCTCCGTCCGGAGGTCCAACCTTACTCTTTTATTTGCCATTTTTGACTGAAAAGGTACCCTTTGGTATAATTTCTGCCCTCCCCCTGGATCCGACACTGAACATTCTTTTCGAAATTGGAACGCCTTTTCTTGTAAAGAAGATTCTTTACAAAATTTTTCAAATGCAATGTTTAAGTAATTTTTATTTCGCGTAATGGATTCTGGTAAATTCAAGGAAGGTTGTTTACTGCGGCTGCATGATTTGTTCTCATCGTGCGTTGTTCCTTAACATTCCTTGTGTACAGAATGCACACTAATGGCCTTTTCGCTGTAAAACATCTCCACACCGTTGTGATAGGGGCCGCATTTTATGGCTGGTAGGATCAAGAGTTGCAGATGAGGAACTATGTCGTCAAATTTAACAATGCTCCAACTGCTGTTGACTAACTTATCGTGTTGCAGAGCGTTTTTGTAGTCGCCAACTCGAGGATGTTTTCACGTGGAGCGTTGTTGTAATAAGCAAGACAAGCACTCGCCAAGGACGCTAAGGCAGCACCAATAGAATGCCCTGTAACCTAGACTTGATGCGAGAGATTCTTTGAAACTAGAGCTTTCACTTTCGGCTCCATGAACTGCCATAAATCTTCAAAGGCCGTCTTGAAATAGGCCTGAACTTTGCCATTGAGAAAATCTTGCGATGTGGTAGTGATGGTCTCTAGTAATTCATCAATAAGTTGTCGCGCACCTTCAGTTCCGCGAAAGGCCACGATCAACACTCACAAAGCATGCGAAACTGCAACTTACAGTATAACCCGAGCAATTCTACCCGACAACCGACAAAATCGTCGTTTTTTGTAAAAAGGTATTTTTCAAGGCAATGCTGAGGGTGAGAGTGATCATCTGTTACCATGGAGACAATCGCCATCTTGTACTGCAGTTCAGGATTACAAGACATCACGAATCCTCCATCCCACTGTAGGCGATATCATTCACAACCAACTTTGGTGAGGATAAGTTGTGAAAAAATGATTTGGAAAAAAGGCAAGTCCAGTAAGACTATTGACATGAATATTAAAATCAAGCATTTTTCTCAATGAATTTGTTCGGCCTGTCATAGACGCCGACGTACATGTAGTCCTCAATCTAAGCTGAGTCTCTTATACCTTGAATCTCTTTTACGAGCGTAGAGCGACGCCGATCACTCTGTGGCCAACTACTTTGCTGTATCTTTCCTTTTTTATTTTTCTGAAAGTCTATGACAGTGAGTTTTCTCTTTTTCAGTACTGAGATCGGTTCTTCGCAGAGTTCAGTGAACGGATCACTATGACTTTCATAAGTTTTCCGAGTTTTACTAAAAAATCATGTTTTTTGGCATAATGTCGTTTTTCTCCTGATTTAATTTGACTTCATCCAAGGCCGGATAGTCTAGATAGTCTCAGAGGATTAAGTCGTCCAATCACGATTCTCGATTTTTTTGTTTTCGTTTACAATAACAGAGCTATGCATGGTCGATGAGAGTATCGAGTCTCAATGTAAACCATGGAAATGACGTAATGATGGCGCAGTTTAGTTTTCTCTCGAGTTCTCATCACAAGCGCGATTTTCCAAGAACCTTCACCGGAAATGGGCTTCAAAAACTGTCAATGTTTTTAGTATTTAAAAAAAAATCGGTGGAAATTTTCCACCGTCTTAATACTCTTATCAACCATAGAAATGACTTCAAAAAGGTCTTAAATTGCAGTGAAACCACTCGCCTGCTGCTCCTGGTTCCACGTGAAACATTTTCACGTCATTTCGATGGACCTTAAAAATTGTCATCGATTTGTTTCTAAAAAAATCGATTTTCTACACATTTTCGTCTTCATAAGTGATGAGGAAAATAAAATTCAACAGTGACAAATGTTTCCTCCCCTAAGTAAAGTTGTGATGACAAATTCCCAACCGTAGGAACGCACGAATTGACAAAAGGCCCGGGGCCAAGAGAAGAATGGGTATGCTTGGAACTGACTGAGCCATTAACAAAATACACTCTTTTTTCATAATTGCAACGTCCATTTTCGAGTTGAGCCTTGATAGTTCTTATTTTCTGGGCAGTCTCAGCCTGGAAATGTTCTTACAGATGCTGCTTAAATTTCAATAACGGAAATCTGATAAATTTTTAAGCTACATATAGACATGATGAGACAATGATTACAGTTTTCAAATTAACGAAATGTACAAGTACAATGCAAATGTATCATTGACCATACTCAATAGGTATGTTTTGAAAGAACAAAATTTTACTTGCATTCTGATTCCGTGTAGGACATTATGTAATGCAGATTTTCTGGATTTAGGAACGTAAAAGCAGTGGAAAATAAATAGTTCTTCTCTGAGCCTCGGGTATTGATATGTCCTTAGCATGTTCTTAATATTTTGACAAATTTTAGGCTGAACGTTCTTATTCTTATAAAAAGATTTTTTTAAAAAAAATAGTGTAGACCTCTTTAGCTTGTCTCTTTTCCCCCCATCATTTTCCGCTTCTCCGTTGTCATTACGTAAAGATTGTAGCATATTGAACTTAAGTTGCACGGTAACTCTAGCTGCAAAAAGAGGACAAACGCCCAGAGACTCTTACTGTAAAATGTGGAAATTTGTTTTTACAGGGTGGCGTTTCCCAGCAGGAGATGTTCCGCATTCTTAAATGTTTACTATAAGTTTGTTGGTTTGTTGTGGTTTAAATTCCTGCTAAGTCGAACGATTCTAAGTTCCTGATAAGTTTAACAATTTTCTGTATACATACTAGTAAAACAGGACTGTCATTAACTTCTATTACTTCTGATGTTTCTTCTAAGAGACAAGGAATAAAACAGCTTTTGAGCGGTAAATGTCAAAGTGGGATTACTAGCACAGCCAAAGAGCTGAATGGAGTAAACGTTCCATGATTTATGCAGTCAGTACAAAAAAATCCAAAAACAAAACGCTAAACTATCATCAGAGATCGTTTCAAGATTCTGTTTCAATCCTAGCCTTTGTTTCAAACTTGGCCTCTTACTTGGCATTTTACTGACTGATTCACTGGAGCCGTAATTAATATTTTTTCAAGAAAGGTTTTTGTGGCCTTTTAATAAGAGCGAACTTTAATCCGCGGTAACAAAAAAGATGTGTTGCTCCATCTGTTTTGATAGGAAGATGCTTAAAATTGGATAAGATGGTCACTGATAGAAGGTCACTTGGTTATAATTGAGTAATTGCAACTCCCAAAACACAGAGATGAACTGCCTATTATAGTAAATTCTAATGAAAAACAAATATGTAAGTAAACCAAATGACATTGGCCAAAAGCAACGCCAACAACAGCAACAGCAAAAAGAGTATTGATTTCTGGGACGAGTGGGAGTTTAATTAGTTTCCAGTCAAACATCCAACAAATTTTTAAATGACAGTGAATAAGTGTAAAGGTTAAGATTTTGTTGTTCCTACTGTAAAGTACTCAATTTCTATTTTTTGTAACTAAACGTTTCCAGATGCTTGACACTGAATAGATATAATAGCCAAGATTTCCTTTGGCAATGATAAAAGCCAACTAAAGATGCATTCCACAGTATCACTTACACCATTGAGGGTTACAGGTAAGGTCATGTATATAGTGAGGAGACAATCGCTTTATCCCTAGCCTTCGTAGCCGTCCCTTCAGACTAGTTCAAAATAAACGCTCTCGTTCCTAAGGCTATTTCATTCTCTTCAATTAAGTCTTGTCCCAAGGACAGCATTGGGCCGTTGACCATGCGACATCAAAGTAGAGAAGAAAAGCAGACGAGCGAGGGAAGAAAACTAGACAGATTGCTTTCCACGTCAGGCTTGTTGCTGTCTGTGGCATGTTGTATCGCAATAATTCACGTGGAACTCAGATTACGAGAACATTATCGATTGATATCACACTGTGGAACATTCTTCTTTGAAATGGAGGCAGAAATCCGTCGAAAAGTTCAGGAGAACTCAGAGAACGGAAGATGGCAAGTAGGCAGAAACAGCCATTTGGAAGGTGAGGCTAAAAGAAGTAACATTCATTCAGGAATTCGAAATAGCGGTATTTTACTACTCTCCGCCTCTAATCGCAATACTCGCCATCGCTCGGAAGTCTTAGTTTATGATTGCTAATTAAGGTTCCTTTTCGTAAATGTATTTGTTTGATTGTCACCTTGCAGGAGAGAAGTACAGTCAATTTCCGATAATGCTCATCGGATGCGCTTAAACAATTTGTATTTTTAGAGAACAAAGATATTAGTGATGTTTCGCATTCTTAAATGTTTACTATAAGTTTGTTGGAGAGAAGTACAGTCAATTTCCGATAATGCTCATCGGATGCGCTTAAACAATTTGTATTTTTAGAGAACAAAGATATTAGTGGGCATTTACTCTACATTCGCAGGCATCTGTAGACTGTACTATTTTCGAAAACTTGTACTTCTTATGGGGCTATTAATTATGAAAGAACTCTGTTTATACTATGATCATTTTTAAAACTGACTTCTTGAATTTATGTTCAAGGACTGAGTTCAAGACATAAACGGGGATCAGAGAACATCTCACAAAGTATATCGGCACAAATATCTAGTGAAGTAAAACTGGTGATCAAAGAAGAGCTTCGTCTGCTGCAAAATCAAATCTGCGCTAAAAATGAAAAGCTCTGCCGCTCAGGACCAAAAGGGAGCAGAGGACGACGGGGAAAACCAGGAACCCGAGGGAGACCGGGTGCACGGGGAGCTCCAGGACCAATGGGTATAAAAGGCGATCTTGGAATTCCGGGTGATCCTGGTCCCGCGGGACGTAGAGGCCCGCCAGGTGAGAAAGGCGAAAAAGGTGAACCGGGTCTGTCCGTCTCGGCTCCAGTTCTTCTGGAGCGGCCTGTTGAATCAACAGTCAATGAAAGTCAGATAGTCGTCTTAAAATGTACAGCGGACGGTTACCCAACTCCACAAGTCACATGGTCAAAGATGAATTCATCGCTTCCTGTGGGACGTCACATGGTAGAGTCCAGTGGTGCTCTGGTTGTGACGGACGTTAGACCTGGAGACGAGGGTGTTTACAGCTGCAGAGCTGAGAATTTGCTTGGGAGCGTCAACTCTACAGCGAATCTTACAGTTCAGTGTAAGTTAAGTTTTTACTTTGAGTAGGACTTTAGAATTTTTCTTTCAGCAATCGGGGACTAAGTTTAATCATACAGAAAAGATTTTTAAGTGAGCAAAACGTGACTGTACTGATAATGGTATCTGCATGCACCCCCCACCCCTTGGGCGGGACTCCCATAGAAAAGTGACGGGTATGCTCGTCGGAAAATTAGATTGAACTCCTAGGGAAGACCAATGTGGGTGTGGCTCAAGCTTAAACTGACCCTTAACGGAGACCATACTAAAACAGACGTCACAGCATTTTTTGTCAGCGATACTTGAATAGAGAATTTCCCTCCCAAACACCCTAAGTGAGATCAAAATCTGCAATTTACACCCGTAAGCGAGACGATGAGGATCCCCGTCACTTTTATATGGGACTCATGCCACTTAAGGCATGACTACCTAAATATGCATATTTTGATAAAATGCTACTTAGAACGGTTTGCTTCTATCAATAATCTTGAAAATGGGACTACATTTAATGTAGCTTAGTGGCCTTAGCAATGTGAGACATTTTAGAAGCTCAAATTTTTGTCACGTGACTTATAACTGAGAATTAACGGTCAAAATGTTTACTCTAAAATGGGGAAAGGATAATGGTAGAGCAACAAGTTTTTTTAGGTTCTGAAAAATTCGTCTTGCGGTTTACGATATATAGGAATCGGTAAATAGAGAGGAAAGGGTCACGTGAGTTGTTAATTAGTTAAATAGCTAATAGGATAAATAACATTTCCAATCATACAAGGCGAATTTACAATTTACACTGTTTATCTAACATTTTGGTGGTGAAAATTCCCCGTTTAGGAAAACGTGTTTTGTGACGTCATTGACGAAGCAATGTCACGTGTTATTTGAAACTACGTTTTGCGTGTTTTTTTCGTTGAGCCACATTTGTAGTTCACTTGTCAGGATCACTGATGGAAGCAAACCGGTTAAAACGGCATTTTACACAATATACATATTTAATTAGGTAGTCAAGCCTTAAGTGCTGAGGAGTCGCCTCTCCGGGCCGCAAGCACTTTTTGTCGCAGACCCGCAGGTTGTCCTAGTTAGAAATGTAAGCCGTGAGCGTTAGCACAGTGTTTCTGTTACAAAATAGTCAAAATATTCTGATTTGCCAGAACCGATTTTAAATCTAGATACGGTATCGAATAATAACATAAAGACAACTTAGTGAAATTTAAAAAAACCTTTCGATGGTGAAACACTCACACACAAAAACGACACGAGAAGAAAAAGACGATAACTAAATTAAAGCTTGGTAAGCTGTTTTTACAATTATGTTGAGACCCGACCAATGGAAGTCAAATCAAATCTATCGAAGAAAGGTATCTCTCATAGCATTTGCTTGTTCGTATTTTTTTCCACGTAATGTTTCCTCAGCGTCGTTTGTTCTGCACTGGATAAAAGGAAGGTTCTGTTTTTAATCCTTGTAGATGGCCCTCAACTTTATTTGGCATCTAATCGACTGATGGCCGAAGAGAAACAAAACGTCACAATCGCCTGTACTGCTACTGGTAAGCCGCAACCCGCGATCACGTGGTCCAGAGCGGCGGATGAACTACCTTCAGAAAGAACTGTCATGAGAGATGGAGCACTGATAATCTCCAATGTATTGAGAAAAGACGGAGGCCTATACATTTGCGAAGCAGAGAATATTTTGGGATCAGTGATAGGTACAGCTCTACTTATGGTATTTTCTCCTCTGCGCTTCAAGTTTCGCCCCCCTGAAGAGGTGACTCTATTTATTGGCTCCAGTCTCCATCTGTCCTGTGTAGCCGTGAGTGACCTAAGACCGAGAATAACCTGGACAAGGGATGGAATGTCCTCACTTCCAGCGGAATCTTTTGTTCTACAGAATGGAACACTTGTAATTCAAAACATTAAAAAATCGCACCAAGGATTTTACACCTGTAGAGCAACTAATGCTGTGAATACAATAAAAGCTAAAGTCAAAATCAGTCCTCCACCTGCCTCCTGTTCTGTGATAAGAAAACGTGTTAGAAGTGTGAGCGGAAATTATGTCATTGATCCTGATGGCCAGGGTGGTCTCGCACCGTTTTCTGTTTATTGTGACATGACTGACAAGAATGGAATTGGCGTGACAGTCATCAGTCACGACAGCGAGAACAGAACAGCCGCCATTAAACGTAAAGCTCGCAACATTCACTACTCTGGAGCGAGTCTGTCTCAATTGGCGAGTCTCACTAGAGTTTCCTCACACTGCGAACAGTTTATTAAGTATGAGTGTTATCACTCGGGTTTGTGGCTCCACAATCCAACCTCATGGTGGGTGTCGCGTGATTCTAATAAGATGAATTACTGGGGTGGAGCATCACCTGGTAGTGGTAAGTGCGCATGCGGTATGACTAACTCCTGCGCTTCCTGTAACTGTGACAGGAATGACCATGTATGGCGTGAAGACAGCGGTCTGCTCACTGACAAGACAACTCTTCCAGTAAAACAGCTTTATTTCAGCGATCTCGGTGGGTACGAAAGAGGCTACCACACTCTCGGAAAATTGAAGTGCTATGGCATAGCGTGAACATGTTTTATCCTTAGGTTTTTTACACAATAATTTGCATTGGAAATCACTTGATGTGAAGTATCTACGACATGTTAATGCAACAATGTTGTTTTAAGAGTTCGTCAAATTTGTAACAGAAATTTCAAATTGCGTAATTACGACTGTAAGGGATAGCTGAAGTCAAATTACAAAGAACTCGTGATTGTAGGGCTCCTTTATTAATTGACCCAATTAAAGGGTCTGTAATTAGCGAAATATGTATGTCAGTTTATCGTTTCTAAGATGAGGTTTCGCTGTCTATCATCTGCTTGCAGCATTATACTTACAATTTAAAACCTCTAGTCATACACTACTCAGTTAAGGCGTGATCGGTGGGCCCTTTGTGTGATCGATCAATACGCGGGCGGATCGATTATATTATTCAAGAGCGAATAGAACTTTCCATACAATTATTGGTGTTTTATTTAATGTTAATTAACATCCAAGCCTTGTTAGCATTTGAAAATTTCAAAAGCTTGAATTCTAACCTCAAAATAAAGCCTAGGGGTCAATTAACCTAAATAAAAAAAAGAATGATAAATGATAATGGAGTAGGTCTGTCACAATCCGGTAAGGCTACGTACAAACAGACGAAACATTTTTGGCCAACAATTCCCAACATTGTTGGATATTACATGTTGCTTTCCTTTGCACACCCTGTTACATATTGTTGCGTGTTGTTGAGAGTTGTTGCGCAAAGTTTGAAACCGGTCAAACTTTTAGCCCAGAAAGTTTTTGCGTCCGTCTGCACATGGCTCAAATCTTATCACCATTATCAATTGCAAATTATCACAGAAAAATAATAATATAAAACAACAACAATAATTGTAAAATTTAAAAGAAAATTTTTAGTGAGGGGTGAATAGCAAGAGAGTACGGTACTCCGGATTTCAAGTATCGAGGGTGATCGAAGGGGGGCAAAAATCAAAACCCAAAAACGTCCCTGGACCAAAAATTAATCCCCCAAAAATCCGTTACCAAATTTCCGAGCCTTAAAATGTTATACAAAGCATAAAAATGATATAACTCAAAAATTTTGGTTGTACTTTATTGGCAGAACTACGCGGACGGAATACGGGGGGCACTACGACGAATCTTCAGATTGGTTTGAATACCCCCCAAAAACCCTATTTCAATCAAGTCACCCAAAAAAATACTTCCCAAATTTTCCTATCCAAAAAAATCTCGGAATTGAGAATTTCAAACCCAAAAAAACCTTCGATCATCCCCGTCATTTGAAATCCAGAGTACCCCGCTGGGACTATACTCACTTCATTCAAATCTTTGCTTTATTCATTAAAGTACCGCCCTCCATCCAAGACTGGTTTCTTTGACGTCACGCATGCATCGACTGGCTTTAAGGATGTCAACATCCATATCCGACTTCCCACTACTTTAGAAAAGAATTTCAAAGTGTCTTGAAGATATTTGAAAGCTGAAATTTTGATGAGTAACATATTCTTGTGTATATTAGCTTTTGCTGGCGAAAAGAAAAAAATAATTAAGTACATGATAAGCATTATTTCGGAACGATCTTGCAAGAGGGCTTTTTGAAGGCTAATCAGCTTAACAATAATTTCCCCTAGTACCTCTCATGAGCTTTATATGTAACGAATTACTGTTCAAAGACGGCGTAACCAAACGAAACTACTTGTATTAGGGGACGAGAACGACCCAACGTCTTTTCAAAAATTTAGATCTCTCTTTTTTTAAATATAACTCTCAGGAAACCTAATTTTTTTTTGTCGTAAAGATGTGATAATTTTGTTGCTGTTTACAAGTTTTGAGATTTGTCTTCACCATATTAAATAGGCGTGCAATTGGCAGTACTAAGCAAGAGTACTTTGACTTTCACGAAACAGCTCAACCTCGTTCTTAGGTCTTTTCCCCTTGAAAAATAGGAAAAAGACCTGGAAACGAGGTTGGACATAGCCTCTTTAAATGACTAATTATAGGACGTACAACTTTCCTTTCTATTGGAATGCCTTTTCTTGTAAGCTCGAAGATTCTTTACAGAAGGTTCCAAATGTAATGTTAAAGTAGTTGTTGTGTCGCGTAATGGATTCTGGTAAATTCAAGAAAGGCTGTATGCTGCGACTGCATGATTTGTCCTCGTCGTGCGGTGTTCCGTAACATTCTCTGTGTGCAGAATGCACACTGATAGCCTTTTCGCTGTAGAACAGCTGCACACCGTGGTGATAGGGACAGGATTTTATGGTCGGTAGGATCAAGGGAGGCAGATGAGGCACTACGTCGTCAAAATTTACAACCCTCCAACTGTTGTTGACTAACTGATCGTGTTGCAGAGCGTAGTTGTAGTCGCCAACTCGAGGGCTCCCAAACGTGTACAAGATGACGTTTTGAAGTGGAGCGATGTTGTAATAAGCAAGCCATGCACTCGCCAAGGGCGCTAAGGCAGCACCAAGAGAATGCCCTGTAACCCAGATCTGATACGAGGGATTCTTTGAAAGTAGAGCTTTCACTTTGGGCTCCATGCACTGCCATAACTCTTCAAAGGCCGCCTTGAAATAGGCCTGAACTTTGCCATTGAGAAAATCTTGCGAAGGGGTAGTGACGAACTCTAGCAATTCATCAATAAGTTGTCGCGTGCATTCAGTTCCGCGAAAGGCAACGACCATCACTCGCAAAGAATACGAAACCGCGATATATCCAGAGCACTTCCTTTCGACGAAATCACAGTTTTTTTGTAAAAACTGTTTGGAGTTGAAATTTGGCTGCGGGCAGATATTGGTCAAGACAATGCTGAAGGTGAGATTGATCATATGCTACAACTGAAAGAACCGCCATCCTGTAAGACAGTTCAGGATTATAAGGCATCACGCGCCTCTCATTATCATCGTTGTAACCATTTCTTCCACAATCGCCCTTGATGAGGATAAGAACAGAGAAAATAAAGACAAACGCAAGTCCAATATGACTAGTGACACGGATATAAAAAATCATGCATTTTTGTCGATGAATCATTTTGTTCCCTCTTGTGCTGTTTCTATCGTTAGTCTTCGCTATGATCTTAGGCGAGTAACTCTTGGAATGTCTTGAATCTTTTTGTACCTGCGTAGAGCGACGCCAACCACTCTGTGACCAGCTGTTTTGCTGTATCTTTCCTTTTATATCCTACTGAAAGCTCTTTAGGGTATTATAAAAGTACTATGAGATCAACATAACGCTATTTTATAAGTCTTTGACAGTGTTGTCAATCTTATTTAGCACATTGACTGTTTTTTTTTGTAGAATATAATAAATATATCATGGTAACTTAAAAAAGGAAACAGAAAAAAAATAAGACAAAGGAGGATGGAGAAAGATACATGAATGCGTTTCTCTTTCTTTCCTTGGTTTCGGTTTCGTCGAGCGGACTGTGCTTGATTTTCTGATTCGAATTCATGGTCCTCCGATCCTCGGCTACTACTATAAATAGATCTAACTCTAATCGATCTTCCTACAAAGATTTAAGTTCTGTCCAACTACGAGTTTTAATTTTACCGTTGCATCAGAGATTCAAGGGTCACAAGTTTGTCAGTTCGTGGATATCAAAGACCATTTTTTTTTAAAGAGCTAATTTTTGAAACAAAATCCCCTTGAGCCCCGCTGCACTTCTTTGAAGTTCCTAGACACAAGATTGCAGGTCGTCAGTAAATCACGAGTTAGTCTTGATCAACAACAAGTTACCAATGCCAAACTCGTGCTCATTAGCTAACATATTGAGTAACTGTTTATTCGCGATGCTTTTCTTTAAAGAAAAAAAAAAAAGACAATGTAGCGGACTACCTTCATATAAGGGGGATAAGGACGATATAACACAGTGCCTTTTTAAGACCCCCAAATAGCCAAATTGTGCAATCTAAGCTTACATTGTTAAGAAATCGTTTATTCATGATCTTGTTCTAAAATAGAAGAAAATTAAAAAAATAAAAGTAATAAATAAAACGGAGAGGGAAACAAATAAACGCTTTGTATCAATTTCGCTAAATAAAATAACAGAACTGAACAGGGTCAGTTATATATTTAGGGGGGAATGGTTTACCGATGATATCACTATAAAAAAATGGCCCAGTTTCATAGCAATTAACTTCCTCAATATACTCGATTGATACAAACCATGAACAATAAAAGCAACAGGACTTAAGATTATAATTTGTTGGCATTGTAGGTTTAAAGTGGCGCTTGTGCGTATGCATTCCAAGAAGCTTTCTATGCTCACGTTTACTCAGAAGTCTTTTTTAAGAAAGTGGCCATATATATTGCCAACATAGCCATTGTTTTATATGGTCATCGAAAAAACACTCAGATAAGCCTTACAGCAGGTTAAAGCTAATCTCGGTAAATCCTGATTAAACCACATTAGGAAACATAGATATTTATAAAGTGCGTGGGCTATTTTGAAGTGGTCTTCATTCCTGCCATTATATAAAGGGGTCAAGTAACCACCTCTGCGAAAGCAACAGAACATTAAACAAAAGTGGAATGGTTAATAATAAAGGCTGGTTTTCACTAGCGACGGAGTCGGATAGGAGTCATAATCAGAAGCGTAGAACTTTTAACGATCTAGTGAAAACAGCGTTCTGATTCCGGTTAGGACTCCATCGCTCACGATCAAGTGAAAACTAGGTCGTCGGAGTCGCAAGCAGAAGCAGAGGAACCAAACCAATCACAAAGCTTGGGAACTTGTATTGTGATTGGTTTATCCTACCGCTTCTGCTTCCGACTCTGACAATCGTACAGCTACTCCGGGTACCAAAAGTTTTTTTCTTGCGTGCGATGGGGAGCTTCGTCGGCCGCATGCCAACACGTCTTCGGCTTTCGGCCTAAGACACGATAAAAAAACCCCCCCTTTTCGCGCAAGTCACTTTTCAAAAATTGACTGAAGCTAGAAACTGCGCATGAAAGCCTGCATGAAAAGCCTGACCCCGGAAATCCAAGAATTCCTCTCGCACTGAAGCCTGTGAGTCAGTGCTACTTCCAGTTTCTCTGTGAAGAGTTCAGGTTACAGGAAGTTGAGCAGTAAAGAGATGTGACCTCTTTTGAGCTTCATCTTCATTAGTCTCCAAAGACTGGTTTTATCAACGCTATCGGTTCTTACTCTTTTCCATTGCCTTGTTAAACCCTTACACGAGGAACAGCAAAGACATGACTTCTCAGGGGTCCGAAAAGAAACAGGCGCACGAGGACAGAAAACTAGACAGACTACTTTCCACGTCGAGTTTGCTTTTGTCCATTCTTTGTTGTATCGCAATATTTCACATGGAACTCGGAATACAAGAACATCGTCGACTGATATCACATTCCAACACTGGAACATTCCGAGACGAAATGGTAACAGAAATCCTTCGAAAAGTTCAACAGGAGTGTGGAAGTTGGCGAGAAACCAAAGACAGCCATTTAAAAGGTGATTGGCAGACAACAACGTTCTGTTACTTGTTATGTTCTTTACATTTGTTTGCCATGCGGTATAGATTCTCTTCAGTAAGTGGGGCTATATCTGAACAGTTTAACTTCTTTTCTAATTGCATTAGCGATCCTGAAAGGTAGAAGAAATATCTCAGCACTGTTTGCGCGTCGGAGGCTTGATCATGACGGTTTATGATTACAATTTTTTTCACTGGCATTCCCACCCTGAAGGCAAAAAGTATATTTTTTTAAAAAGAAAATTTGTAAATTGTAAATTGCAAATTGCTTGTTTACCCACGAAGCGCATAGGAGTTCACATAAACTCGTTTAAACCTGTCCGTGCGTTCCATATCGAACAAATAATGCTTCTAAAAAATTCTGTGTTTAAAGTAAGCGAGCAAAAAAAAAACACAATGAGAGATGGCGCTGTAATCCTCTCCCTTGAAAACCAAACTCGACCAATATATCCGTTAGTTGACCTGCCATCCTCTACAATTATTATTCTCGTGACAATTATTAAATACGCTCTTTTATATTGTACTTGGCCAAAACTATTCGTTTTTCCTCTGATAATATCAATTGCGTAGGTACCTGGTTCGTATTTACCCTTAGATAGCTTCAATGTTTAAATAGTTTAATTGGCTTTTTAAACTTATCTTCAAGGCCAGAGAGATGCAGTTTCAAGACAAAGGCGGGCATCAGGGAGTGGCGCACAAAATAATTCGACTCAAGGAGCGGCTGAAGTAAAACGTCTTATTAAAGAAGAACTTCGTCTGCAACAAAATCAAATTTGTGCTAAAGATGAAACGCTCTGCCGCCCTGGACCAAAAGGTAGCAGAGGACGACGGGGAAGACCTGGAACCCAAGGGAGACCAGGTCCCCCAGGGAAACCCGGTCCAAGGGGTCCTCCTGGTAAACATGGACCAGTAGGACCCCAAGGACCAATGGGCATAAAAGGAGATCTCGGAGTTCCGGGTGTCCCTGGTCCCACGGGACTTAGAGGCCCGCCAGGTGAGAAAGGCGAAAGAGGTGAGCCGGGCCAGTCCATCTCGGCTCCATCTCTGCTGCAGCGTCCTGTTGAAACCACAGTCAATGAAAGTCAGACAGCCATCTTAAAATGCACAACGGACGGTAATCCAGCTCCACTTGTCACGTGGTCTAAGGTGAATTCATCGCTTCCTGAGGGACGTCATGTGGTAGAGTCAAGTGGTGCTCTGATTTTAAAGAACGTTATACCTGGCGACGAGGGCTTGTACAACTGTCGAGCTCAGAATTTGCTGGGACGCGTCAACCATTCAGCAAAACTGATTGTTCACTGTGAGCAGCTTAATCTGATTTGTCATTATTATTTGTTTGCGAGCACGTGATAAGGCAGTCAGTTGACGAAGCAAAACCATTTTTTTTTTTCGCAGAATTTGCATGAAAAAAGAGTTTAGTTCCAAGCGCAGGAAAACACTTTTGAGTTTCCTTATTGTCAACCAACATGGTCGCCGTGACGTGAGCTTCAAACCAGCAATTTTAAACATCTAGGCTTTTCTTTAGGTAGAAATTCTATCTTCAGTGGGTATCGGGTAATTCAAATTTGTTTAAAGGTACAAAAATATTTCATTTAGCTGGAGTGTTCAAGAGCTGAATATCTAGAATTTGTGTAGTATTTACCAGTGGCCTTGGTTTTGAGTCGGAATGTAGTCTGTCAAAATCCAATTTTAGTTTTATCGTGCTCGAACAGCACCCAGCAATGAGGTATAGGAGTTATGTTTTCTTCAAAATTTCAAGTACACCAAAACTTTGATTTTAAGAATTGATGATTTTTCCTCGGAAAAGCTTTCTTTTTTTTCACGATTACTTTTCGTTTGTCTTTTCGGATCAATTTAGGTTTGTGGGAAACTGCCCACTACCACTCCCCTAACTCATCATTTTGCCCAAAGTAAGAATGGTTATTAAGTGTTAATGTTAGCTTAGGGGAGGGGTAGGTGGACAGTTTCCCAGAAACGTTAATTGATCCCTTTTTTTCTTTATTTTTATCCAGTTCATCCTCAATTACGTTTGTCATCTAACCGACTAATGGCGGAAGAGGGGCAAAATGTGACAATCGTCTGCAATGCTTCTGGTCAACCACAACCCAAGGTCACGTGGTCAAAGGCCGTTGGGAGTTTGACGAAAGACAGAACCTCCGTGGTAAAAGGAGCTTTGACAATCTGCAAAGTGACGAAGAGCGACGGTGGAACATATGTGTGCAGAGCACAAAATATTCTGGGGTCGGTATCCGTCGCTGCCTAACTAATGATATTCTCCCCTTTGCACTTTAGAATCCGTCCTCCTCAAGTGGTGACTCCCTTGTTTGGTTCAACTTTACGATTACCGTGTGAAGCAGAGAGTGACCTGAGACCGAGAATTACCTGGACAAGGGATGGCAAGTCTTCACTTCCTGTGAGTTCTTTTCTTCTACAGAAAGGGACACTTGTGATTCAAAACATTAAGAAATCGCACCAAGGATTTTACACCTGTAGAGCAACTAATGCTGTAAAAACAATGGAAGCTAAAGTCAAAATAAATTCCCCAGTTAGAGCTTCTTCCTGTTCTGAGATAAGAAAATATGTTAGCAGTGTAAGCGGAAATTATCTCATTGATCCTGATGGCAAGGGAGGCCTGGCTTCATTTTCTGTTTATTGCGACATGAAAGACAAGAATGGAATCGGCGTGACAGTCATCAGTCACGACAGTGAGAGCAGGACATATGTGCCTAGTCAGAACCGTCTTCGTGATATTCACTATACAGGAGCGAGTCTGTCTCAGTTGACCAGTCTTACCAGTGTCTCCTCACACTGTGAGCAGTTTATTAAGTACGAGTGTCACGACTCGGGTTTATACCTTTACACTCCAACTTCATGGTGGGTATCACGTGATTCTGCTAGGATGACGTACTGGGGTGGAGCATCACCCGGCAGTGGCAAGTGCGCATGCGGGATGACCAACTCATGCGCAGACTCCAGGTTTGGTTGTAACTGTGATAATAATGACCATACATGGCATGAAGACAGCGGTTTGCTCACTGACAAGACAACTCTTCCAGTAATACAGCTCTATTTCGGTGATCTTGGTGGGTCAACAGAAAAAGGCTATCACACAGTGGGAAAATTGAAGTGCTATGGCATAGCATGAACACTTGTTAACCTTAATTTTTTCACAAAATGATTTGAATAGGAATTCACTTGACGTCAGGTATCTACCACATATTGGTGGAAAAATATTATTTTAAGAGTTCTCAAATTTGTAACAGTAATCTGAAATTTCGTTATTGCGACTGTACAGGAGCTGAACTCAAATCACAATGAACTAGTGATTACAGGACTTCCAGGTAGTCCTTTATCCCATAACTATTAACTGACCCAACAAAAGGGTCTGTAATTGGCGAAATAGGTATGTCAGTTCGTCGTTTCTAAAATAATGTTTCACGGCCCCGCATCTGCATCGCAGTATTATAGTTACAATTTAACACCTCTGGTAATAGACTAACTTATCAATACGGCGGATCGATTATATGATTCAAGACCGAATAGTCCTTTCCATACATTCACTGGTGTTTTATTTTAATGGCAATTGATATTCCAGCCATTTTGAAAGCATTTGCAAATTTCAAAAGCCTGAATCCTTACCCCAAGATTAGGCCTAGAGGTCAATTAACCTAAAGAAACCAGAATAATCAAATGAGATTGAATAGGTCTGTCTGTCAGAATCCGGTCAGTCTTTTACTTCTTTTCACCATTATTCATTGCGAATTGTCACAGAAAAATAGAAAAATAATAATAGTGATTTAATTTAATAGAAAATGTTTAGTGAGGGTTGACTATAATCTGTTACAATGTCTTACAAGAGAGTCTCAGAGAAATGAGATCACTTCGAAAAAATTAAGGTGGTCTTTAACTACTACGTTGTCTGTGACAGACGACCGCGCGTGTAACGTGGTCGTCATTCTTTCCTCAGCGCCACATAAATGTACAAACGGCGGGCGAAACATTCAAATTAAAAACGCGAATTAACGTGCTTGCGATCTACTGAGACTACAAAGAAAAATAAGAGACAGCTCGCAGTCTACTGTGAGAGAGTCGAAATGCAGGATTTGACTCAGCCATCCACAGAGCTTAGCCTTCGAGCACAGCAGGACGCCTTTCTCGGCTTTCCAGCCAGCCGAAGGGTGGGGGAAAGGGGCACGCAAGAAAGTTTTATACAGGGGGGCTTGGCCCGGAGGTCCAACCCCTTACTCTTTTATTTGCCACTGTTGACAGAAAAGGTACCCTTTGGTATACTTTCTATTGATAAGTGGTACCCCTTTCACATACCTTAAGTTTAGAAGTCCAATCTTTTAAATTCACTGTATTTAATAAAATACAGTCGAACCCCGCCTTACGGCCACCTCCGTAATACGGTCACCTCGTTATTACGGCCACTGTTTGTCGGCCTGACAAAACGGCCATACATTTACTTATAAAAAACCCCCGTTAATGCGGTCACCCGTTAATACGGCCAACGGCCTCATTTTAAAATCGGAAACAGTATAGAATCTCTTATAATTTTTAAAATGCGGCCACTTGTTCGAAATTTAGAAAATTAAAATGCCAGTGACATGTCAATTTTATTGACCTTGTACTCTGAGCCTGTTCTTGTAATGTTTTGAGACTACAATACACATAAAGTGCATTTGTTAGGATTTTATAGCTAAATTTTAAAAGTGTTTTATTAACTGAGGAAAATTTTAAGGTATCAGCCACCCTTCAGGACCGTCCGCGCGAGGATCGCTGTAGCGTTAGTTGTTTTTATAAAAACCCCTTTAAACCATATATTTTTTAAAAGCTTAATAATTCCAGATTATGGATTTGAACTAACAAAAACGATTTACTTAAATGTGTTTCGAAATTGGAACGCTTTGTGTAAAAGTACACGTCTCTATAAATCATGTTCCACTCCCGCCGGAAATAAACGGAAGAAAACAATTAACACCGCATTCGCTTCTCAACACGTTTCACTAAAAAACCGTGTCTCAGATTTTTGACAAGTGCGTTTGTTTTTCTTTTATTAGCAAATGAAGTTGGGGAAGGCAATTAGTCAACACTCCCTGTGGAAAAAAAGCTCTAGCTTTAAAATGAAACGGAGTATTAAAATTCGCAGACACGGTTTTGTAGAAGAGATATATGGCATCACTCTGGCCAAATTTTAGCCAAATTGATTGAAAGGCTGCCGACTTGGAGTTCAAAACGTACGAGTCGATCGGCAAAATTTGCGTTCGGAGATAAAATAGAAAATACATTTTTGGCGGCATCCTACCTGGAATGAGATTATAACACCTAAATGTTTATTCTGATTGATATCAGAGAGGGATCAATTTTCTCTAACAATAGGACTTTGACAGGTAACATGTAACAGGAACAAACTTTCGCGGCAAGCAAGTGAACAGTTTAATTCTCTGTTGGAAAACTTCCACTCTTTTACACCACGAGAAGCACGGTTTAATTCTTTCTCGAGCAAAAGTTTTGCCTCTCCTTCGATCTCTTTTGTATGATCCGCCCAGGCATTTTTGTTGATCGGCGCCAGGCCAAGGAAACTAAAAAACTTGGAAGCCGCCGAATGTCCGCCACCGATTGCTCGAAGGCCAAGAACTGAGGCCCGGTTTATCTCAAACGCTCTGCTCTTCTCGGAAGAATTAAAAACAGAATTTGTCTTGTGCGACGGGCAACTTTCATTCTCACACTGGATTCTCCAGGTAGAACCAAGTCCATGCTTGGTCGCTACATTTTCCATGACATGGACTCTTCCCTGGCAAAATCGACAAGATACAGACTCGTCCAGTCTCTCAAGCAGCTTTTTTCGCTCGATACGATAGCTCGACCGCTTATTGTTTTCCACGTTCCATCCGCAGATGGAGTCGATGAGCTTAATTGGCTTTTTTCATCTGGTTCTTCAAGCTAGATTTTGGAGCAGTAACTGCAGCATTTTCGCTTTTCTGAATATCCAACTCCTCGAACAACTTCTCTTGCTGATAAAATGAGCCCTTATCGCTCTCTGCCAATTTTGCGGCCCATTCTTTGTCAAACTCGCTCTTCGATTTCTTTTTCGCTCTCGGTTTCGATGACGAAAACGGACACGACCTTTTCTTTTTTTGGCGGCATTTTTACCGAAGCAAACGCTAAATATCCACGGATAATAATACTAAAGGCTTTAAACAACCCGAAGACAATTTGCACGTGTTGTGTCGAAGCACGCACTCGGTATCACGTTACTAGTTCATAAGCAAGTTAATTGATATATGACACGGGTATGACAGATCTTGTCGACGATCAATAAAGATAATTAACGAGAAAAACTCTTTTACTCCCGATATCTTTGGACAGAAATAATACTTTCTTCTGATTTTTTTTTTAAAAGAAAGCTCTCAAGCATATTTATTTGAAAACGTTGAAACCTCAAATATGGAAAAATGGCAATTTTAAGGGTGGCTGATACCTTAAGTAGCTTTTTTAATTACTATACCTGATACCTTAATTCCGTATGTTTATTAATGACAACAGTTGTTAGAGAGATTTTCGTATGAACGTGACATGAAAACGCGCGAACAAAAAAGAAACAGCAAACGAACGTAAATAGAGCGATTTGATTGGTTTATCGAACGGATGCAAACGCGCGTGGTTTTTGATTGGTTAAGCGAACGCTCGGGTGAAAAAACTTCATGCCCGAGAACTTTCTAGAAACCAACCAATACTTCGCTTTAACGTCATACTACAACACGATTGGCTAATCGAACAATGCCTTCTCTATATTAGGGTTTTCTTTGGCGGGAAAACGAAGACGCCATGTTTTGTTCTTTTCACCTATTGGCTGATAAAACAAATAACGAACACTTACCGAAACCATTTTTCGAATGCGAATGCGATGTACGATGTTCGTTCTGTCATTACGGCCCTCAAGTCATGAAATTATTAAGACTGGTCTCTTTGACGTGACGCATGCATCAACAGGCTTGTAAGGATGTTCTAAGATGGAGGCAACCATACCCGACTTCGGACTACTTTAGAAAAGAATTTTAAAGTGTCTGGAAAATATTTCAAAGCTGAAGCTTTCGGTTGAGTAACTTATTCTTGTGATAACTTTTGGTGGCAAAAAGAAAAAAATAAGTCTCTGATAAGTATTATTTCGGAATGCAGATCTGGTTTTAATAACAGTGAGCTAAAAAGCATGCCAAGTTCGATTCTCTCTTTTCCTTAGAAGGAAACTGGTTGAGCAAATGCAAAACAGAGCTCGGATGTGCAAAATTTAAGAAGATTACGAAGGGTTGCAATAGGGATTTTTGACGCCTAACGATAGTTTCCCCCAGAACCTCTCAGCTTATGTAACGAATACGTCTTCAAAGACAACGTGACCACACGAAACTACCGGTAATAGGGGACGAGAACGACCCAACGTCTTTTCAAAAATTTAGATCTATTTTGTTTTAAATATAACGCTCAGAAAACCTAGGTTTTTTTTGTCGCAAAGATCTAGTAGTCGTAATAATTTTGTTGCTGTTTACAAGTTATGAGATATTTCTTCAACATGTTAAATTCCTTAGTTAAAATACGTGTGCGATTGGCAGTGCTAAACAAAAGTGCTTTGACTTTCACGACACAGTTCAACCTCGTTCCTAGGGCTTGCTCCCTTAGAAAATGGGAAAAAGCCCTGGAAACGAGGTTGATCGACACAGCTTTTTTAAAGTACTAAATATCGGGTGTACAACTTTCTTTTCGAAATTCGAACGCCTTTTCTTGTAGGCTGGAACATTCTTTACAGAAGGTTCCAAATGTAATGTTAAAGTAATTTTTATGTCGCTTAATGGATTCTGGTAAATCTAAGAAAGGCTGTTTGCTGCGGCTGCATGATTTGTCTTCGTCGTGCGGTGTTCCATAACATTCCCTGTGTGCAGAATCCACACTGATGGCCTTTTCGCTGTAAAACACCTCAACACCGTGGTGATAAGGACCGGATTTTATAGTCGGTAGGATCCAGGGAGGCAGATGAGGCACTATGTCGTCAAAATTTACAACCCTCCAACTGTTGTTGACTAACTGATCGTGTTGCAGAGCGTATTTGCAGTCGCCAACTCGTGGGCTCCCAAACGTGTATAAGATGACGTTTTGACGCGCGTCGATGTTGTAACAAGCAAGCCAAGCACTCGCCAAGGATGCTAAGGCAGCACCAAGAGAATGTCCTGTAACCCAGATCTGATACGAGGGATTCTTTGAAATTAGAGCTTTCACTTTCGGCTCCATGCACTGCCATAAATCTTCAAAGGCCGTCTTGAAATAGGCCTGAACCTTGCCATTGAGAAAATCTTGCGATGGGGTAGTGACGGACTCTAGCAATTCATCAATAAGTTGTCGCGTACATTCAGTTCCTCGAAAGGCGACCACCAACACTCGCAAAGCATGCGAAACCGCGATATATCCAGAGCACTTCCTGTCGACGAAATCACAGTTTTTTGTAACCACTGTTTGGAGTTGAAATTTGGCTGATGGCAGGTATTGATCAAGACAATGCTGAGGGTGAGATTGATCATATGTTACCGCCGAGAGAATCGCCATCTTGTACGACAATTCAGGATTATAAGACATTACGCGCCTTTCATTATCATCGTCGTAATCATTTCTTCCACAATCGCCTTTGATGAGGATAAGATAAGAGAAAATAAAGACAAAAGCAAGTCCGATATGACTATTGACACGAATATTAAAATCGTGCATTTTGTCGATGAATCTTGTTCTGTCTGATGCCGATTTAGTCCTCGCTATGATCTTAGGCTAGTAACGTTTGGAACGTCTTGAATTTTATTGTACCTTCGTAGAGCAACGCCAACCATTCTGTGACCAACTGTTTTGCTGTATCGGCTTTTCTTTTATATTCTACTGAAAGCTGTTACGGGTAGTATTAAAGTACTATGAGATCAACATAACGCTATTTTTATACGTTTTGACACTGTTGTCAATCATATTCAGCACTTCAGTTGACTGGTTCTTTGTATAGTAGAAAGTAATAAATATATCATCGTAACTTAAAAAACAAAACATACGAAAAAGAATAATATGAAGAAAGATGGAGAAAGATACATGACTGCGTTCCTCTTTCTTTCTTTAATTTCGGTTTCGTCGAGCGGACTCTACTTGGTTTTCTGATTCGAATTCATGGTCATCTGGTCCACTGCTTCTACTATAGATGGCTTTCACAGTGACGTCATCAAATTGTAAAGTCAAAATAGGGAGATTTTACGAATTCTTATTTACCATGTTTACACTAGGTTGAAGATAAACAAAAAGTAAATCTTTGTAAAATTTTTCATTCCCGTAGCATGTTTCATTTCGAAAATACAGCATTTTGAACTTCCGAGTTTTCACAGTGCGTGACACCAAAATAGGAATGCTGTCTCGTTGAAAAAAAATATCTCCTCTTGATTTTCAGCAGTATAACTATTCCAAGTATTAGAAGATATTTTTATGCGCACGTATGCTAGTGCTCGAGTGAAAAGAAGGAGCTTTTATAGAAAAAGTGTACTCCAGATGTTTTTGTTGATTTTCGGCGGCCATATTGGTGCACCAAAACTGTGCACCAATATGGCGTCTCCATACAAAGCTCTACAAAGGTGCGTGAAACGTTTCGGTAAATAACTCAGAAACTGTAGCCACAAAGACCTGAGACTTGGAAAAATTGTTTAAAAATTAGTCTTTAATAGCATTTCATTTTTTTGGCTTCTTCCACTGGACGCCGTTTCCAATTTACTTTTTTGTTGCGTGACAGTGAAAACGATCTATAAATATATCTCACTAATCGATCTTCCTACAAAGATGTAAGTTGTCCAACTAAGATCTTTAATTTTACAGTTGCATCAGGGATTTAAGAGTCACAAGTTTGTCAGTCCGTCGATAAAAAAAGGCCCTTTTTTTAAAGAACTAATTGTTGAAACAAAATCCCCTTGAGCCCCGCCGCACTTCTTAGAAGTTCTTAGACAGGAGATTGCAGGTCGTCATTAAATCACGAGTTAGCCTTGACCTACTCCAAGATGTGTACCAATGCCAAACTCGTGATTTTTAGTGTCGTCGTTTTTTACTTTCTGTCTCCGATGCTAATTCTGTGCCGTAAAATTATGTGCAGTCTTAACTAACATATTCAGTAATTGTTTATTCGTGATGCTTGTCTTTAAAGAAAAACATATAAGGAGGATAGTGACGATATAACACAGTGCCCTTCTATATTAAAGACCCCCAAAATAGCCGAATTTCCCAACATCAGTATGTGCAGTCTAAGCTTACATTGTTGAGCTATCGTTTATTCATGATCTTGAAACAACAAAAAAAGAAAATGGAAATAAATAAATAAAACAACAACAACAACAACAACCAAAAAAAACAAAAAAACAAAAAGCGGAGAAGGAGAAAAATAACCGATATGTATCAATTTCGCTAAATAACAGAATAACAGAATTGAACAGGGCCAGTTATATATTTAGGGGGGATGGTTTACCGATGATATCACTAAAAAATGGGCTCGTTTCATAGAAATTAACGTCCTCAATACGCTAGATTGATACAAACTATAAACAATCACATCAACACGACTTTAAGATTATAGCCTGTTAGCATTGTAAGTTTATAAAGTGCTCCTCTTTGTGCGGAACAAGGACTTTTAATAATTCAGATTTAAAGCTTCAACATCTGACTCGTAGGCGAACTGACATATAAGACGTAGGCGAATCGACTCTATTCGTAGGCGAACAGACCGTGGGCGAAACGACCCGTAGGCGAAACGACCGGATACCCATTCCAAGACTGCTTTCTTTGCTCATGTTTACTCAGAAGTCTTTTTAAAGAACGTGAGCATATTGCCAACATGGCCATTGTTTTATATGGTCATCGAGAAAAACACTCAGATAAGCCTTACAGCAGGTTAAAGCTAATCTCGGTAAATCCCGATTAAACCACATTGGGAAACATAGGTATTTATAACTGAAGTGCGTGGTCTATTTTGAAGTGGTCCTTCATTCCTGCCATTATATAAAGGGGTCAAGTAACGACCTCGGCGACAGCAACAGAAAATTGAACAAAAGTGGAATGGTTAATAATAAAGGCTGGTTTTCACTAGAGACGGAGTCGGATAGGAGTCACAATCAGAAGCGTAGAACTTTTAACGATCTAATGAAAACGGCGTTCCGATTCTGTTTACGACTCCGTCGCTAAACTAGGTTGTCGGAGTCGCAAGCAGAAGCAGAAGAACTAAACCGATCACAAAGCTTCAGAACTTGCATTGTGATTAGTTTATCCTTCCGCTTCTGCTTCAAACTCTGACAATCAGCTGGTTTTCATCAGATCGTAAGCTACGGAGTCCTAAGCGGAGTCGGAAGAAAAGTGATTCTTCCGTCGGCCTTAACCCTCGGCCTACCTTCAACCAGGGGGAACTGGAAGCTAGTTTGCTTTCCTAGCTTGGTTACTAAGCAGTATGGCAAATTCATTCAAAATGGCGGGAGAAACAAATCTTCGGTGATAAAGTAGATTTCTGACAACAAAGCACGTTATAATGCAAACTTTGGACGTCTATAAGAAGGAGGAAGGAAAAATTTGGCAAAGAAAACCAACTCCGTCTCCAGAGGAAGGGTAAGATGGTATTTATCTGGTGTTTGAATCACTAAAGCACGGCTGCTCAAAAATAAGTTAACTTAAGCTTTTAAATGTTTTCGTGTCATTTGTTCATTTCTAGTTTAATTGTCTCCGTAAGCCATTCCACTACCAGTGCCTTTTCGTTACAAGGAAGGAATATCAGATTCCTTCGAACAGCGTTCAATACAACTGGTGAGGCGTTCGCCGCTGGTGATCATCAAGGAAACATTTTCGTCTTCGACTTAGGGAAAAATAGGTAAGTGAATCGAAATTAAAAATCAAGTTCTAATGAACAGCGGAATGAACGATCGCTAAGCTTGTAAGCCTGCCCAATGTGTTTAAATACAATTGTTATCAGGTGGAAATTACGTTAAGGGTCTGCTTACAATTATGTGTTGATTATAAAGATGCTACTTCAGTATATCTACCAAAATTTTCTGAGTGAAACGCGTAAGATTTTCGTCTTGTCATGACTGGGTTTTCCGAAAACGTCCCAGCGACTTTCGGGGATTTCTGACGACTTTCCGAAGACTTCCGAAGATATTTCGACGACCTATGAACACCTCTGAAGCTCAACATATACACCAAAAAACATCAAAGGTACTTGGTTGCCTGAGGTTATATCTGGGTTGGTCTGTCTCTGGAGGACTAGATGGTGGAGCTTGTGAGATTGAATGCACATGTTGCTAAATAGCTTAGAGCAAGCTGCTTCTCTCCCACTGCCCAGGCTGGAGAGGTTGAAGTGACTGAGGTTGTTCTCATAGTTGCACTCTCATAAGGGCCCTCTTCTGAACCCTCTCAATGTCCTCCTGGAGATATTTAGGTAATACATGATGAAAAACTGGCAAACAGTATTCAAGAATGGACCTAACACACGTACGGTGAAAAGTCACAATATCCTTAGGTGGAATATCGGCTCTACGGAGTAAGAAAAAAAAAAACACTTTTTTGCTTGCGTTCTTAATGACCTCCTCAATATGAGCATTTGTCAGCACTTTGGGCATGGCTCACCTCACCACAATGCGTAATTTCCACACTGGTGGTATCGTTGACGTATTTCCACATTGACATGTCTGGGATGTTGAGATCGTTGATCATCAGAAGGAAGAGCCATGGTCCAAGTTTGGTCCCTTGGGAAATACCAGCAGGTACTTGGCCCCTCTCAGAAAGGCAGACTGACTCCAGCTTCACACGCTGTTTCCAGCTGGATAGAATGTCTAAAACCCAACACAAGACTCCACGAGGAATGTCTAGTTTGAGGATTATATGGTGATCAATTAGATCAAAGACTCTTCTGTAGTCGAACACCACAACACTCACCACAGCACCAGTACCATCAGTCATCATAGTCCAGTGATGGATCGTAGAAAATAAGGCCAAAGTAGTCAAAGACTTAGGAATTCCTTGATCCTGATCGTGGTATACCCACTTAATAACACTATTGTCTTTTCAGCATCTGTGGGAGTGCACTCGTTTTACTCACTTAGCTTTAAACGTGCGGCATAAGTCCTCTGCGACTGCAGGAGTAGTTTTTCAAGTAACGGATTTGGTGGGCTGGGTATTCTGCAATCACTCCAAAATTGAATGATAAAAATTTATTATAAAAAATTTGCTCCTCTGATGTATTGAGTAACTGAGAAAAAAAAATCCAAAATATCCAACACCAAATTTCCGAGCCTTAACAAGGTTAGTTGTACTTTATTCGCAGAACTACACAACTGGGATACGCGGGCACTACCACATGCACAAATCTTCAGATTGTTTTGAATACCCAAAAAATCCCTACTTAAATTAAGCCACCTAAAAAAATACTCGTCACATTTCCTACCCCAAAAAATCCAGTAATAGAAAATTTCAAACTCCCAAAAATCCTTCTATCATCCCCGTTACTTGAAATACAGAGTACATGTAGCTTTCCTGGGTATATACTCAGACACCTCTACATAATTATGTATCAAGTGGACTCTATCAAACTTCCTGTAGGTGTCTACTTAACCCTTTATTTAAGCCCTGATATCCACTTACAAATTCTGCAAAATGATCTCCATACATTTCTATAAAGAATCAGTAAAGATAATTTGATAAAAGATCAAAGGATTTTCCTTGATTGATCATTGTATTAATTCTCATAACCATTTCTCTTGATTGTGTATTCAAGTGATATTGTAAGGAGAAAATCAACATTGGCAACTCTTGGGACTTACAGGGTTAATACTGGTTTTGCTGTTATATTTTTAAAAAAATTGAACCACAGGAATGAAGCAAATCTGTACACTGTACAAACTTACTTTATTCACTTTCCTCCGTCAGGTTTTCATTGATTTACAAAACAGGAACACCATGTACTGCCATTTCCTTTTGTCTCCGAAGAAAAAATGAAGTACTGGTGGCCCTTGCTGATAACTCATTAAGGTGCTATGATATAGGTAGGTATTGGACAGCTTACAGCACTCATGCCAGGAAAAAGTGAAGATCAGCTTTCTCACACACTTGTCAGTGAGCTGTTGACCAACAAAGAGCTGTCATTCAAGGACAGTGGGCCAGTTTCAGCTGACTGTAAACCAACAGTTGGCTGTCAGTTGTGGTAGTCTTACATGTATATCTAAAAGTGATTGTGGACTATTGGCCATGTTGTCAATTTCAATGTACAGTGTACCTGTTTGTGACATGCCCATACTTTGTTAGTTTGAGGTTGTCACCCTGTCCCCCACCCCACCCTCCCAAAAAAATTCTTTCCAAACTTTTTATTGAGCTTACTGCAGGCTTGTAGCCAGTAGCACTCTATGCTATTGTTTGCATAAAAATGAATAAATGTAAGGTCATTTCTATTGTTCCTGTATGTACAGTAACACGTAACCTTCGGAGCTGAAGGGGCTGGGTTCGATACCTGCTATCTCCCATTTTTTTTCACTCAGTTTTCTAAAGCATTGTTATGACAAGGAGGAATTTGATACTGTTTGTTCTTAAGGCTGTTTAAAAAGGTTATGTTCTGTTATTTTAAAGACGTACAAATGTATGGTGTTTGCATTTGTAAGGAATGGTCTTTGAAATATCATATTACAGGAAATGTGCTCTGTTTTTGACTTGTGATAATTCTCGAATTGGTTTTTTTATTAAGGTGTTTGTTGATACAGTTTTTCGAAGACCATACCGATATATGAAGATTTTTTTATTGTTGGTAGAATTAAACATTGGAAATCACAATGTGGGAAAATGCAAATTTTACTATGTAAACATTCAATTAATAATGTCACAAATTTGCATAATTTCGAAGCAACTGGCATTAGTATAAATTATTACAATAGTCCCAGAACCGTATCTGTAAAAGTGTTAACTTTGCCTGTGGTCACCGAGCAAACCTTAACTGCTATAAGGGACTTGAAGCATGTAACAAACAGTGACAAAAAGTGCATGTGGCAGTGCCAATTAGAAGTTGCTACACAACGTGACTGCCTTCAAGAATGATTTTGTTTTGCGTGCACATGATCTTTTTAATGATTTTTGTACAGACTATTCATTTTAGAGAGATAGATGCTTTATTGTCTTAATACCTTGCAGCCATAGGCTGAATTACGAAAGACATTACAATAAAAGGACATTACAATAAAGACATTACAATAAAATAAAAAAAAAAAAAAAGAAAAAGTATATAATATTGCCAGTAAGTCTCAGAGGACTATTTTCTAATATACACTGTAATAGGAACTGTTAAGGCAATGAGTGTATTGAACTAGTTGTGACACCTGCACAATCCTAGGGAGGCTAGACCTGAGAGGCCCATGGTTGTTCCGACATTGAGATTACATACAGCTGTACCCCTTCTCTGTGGGCGAGATCAGGACTGGCTTGAAGTTAAATGTAGATTTGCTACTGCTAAAGTGTACATAATGTACTCCTGAAAAATTAATTATCTGACTTCCCACACTTCATATACAGTCAAACCATTAATTTAATACAGACACTGAGGCGGCCATAGAAATTAAGTGTCCGTATTAACAGGGTGTCTGCATTAAGCAGGTTGAATTTAGAGAAAATGTAAAGGCTCTCTTTCCTCCGGCCAGGGACAAAGCAAACTGTCTGTAATAATGAGGTGTCTGTATTAAGTCAGTGTCTGTAAAGCGGCGTTTGACGACTGTACTTCCAGTAAGAGCTGTTTTACTTGAATTAATTAATTATTTATTATTTATTATTATTAATTATTAATTGTTATTATTTATTATTTTTTTGTTATTCATCCCATTTTAGAGTCTCATGAATTAGTAAGCTGGATGCGAGGTGACGACTCATCAATCCACAGTATATCAGTCCATGCTTCAGGTCGTTATGCACTTACATCATCTAACTCTGTAGCTCAACTGTGGGACCTTGATACATTTTCTCGCAAGAGGACATTAAATGGAGCTCAGACTGTTGGAATTCAACAGGTCAGGGTTTACTTGTACATGTACCATTAATCTGTTTTGTTTTTTACCCTGTTGCTAAGCAAGGGGTGGTTGTCTAGAGAAGAGATGCAGAGAAAGAGCAATGCTACACAATACCTGTAGCTGGTTTTACAGTTTGTAGGATAGATTCACAGGCAGACTGATTCACTACTTTTACTGTCGCTCGACAACAATACCTGCAGGCTTCTTGATGATGAGGGAAAGTTACACTGTAACATTCTCTATAATTCCTTTTTTTTCTCAGGTCCTTTTCTTACCACTGAGTAATACCATTGTCACCTGTTTCAAAGATGACAGTTTGTTTGTGTGGGATTCAGAAACACTCAAGTGTAAATTTCAGTTGCCAGTTCCACCAGAGGAGAGCAAGCAGCATCATTACAGGGCCTTAGCAACCCCTAGGGATGGAAGGTTGCTAGTTGCTGGGGGAAGGTGAATCCTCTATGAGATAATTTTTGCTAATTATTACATTTTAATAGCTTATACGTGCACAGTGTAGCTACATGTATTTAAAATTTGTACAGTAGATCTACGCCTTCCAATACCTTTTGATCATCCGTAGTTTCAGAACTGAAGATACATGTAACATGTTCAAATTAGTTTACAAGTTTTCACCTATTGCTAAATTTGTTTTCATCTTTGAATCAAAGTACAGAATAATATAATGATAATTAACCAGTTATCTCCTGTTATCATGTTTTGGTTGAGTTGTACCTGACCATAATTGTACATGTTTTTTGGAAAAAAAATCTCTTCAGATTTTCACATAGGAGTGATGTATGAATTTATTCATGACTTGCATGTTTTATGCACGTTAGATTTTGAATGCAAAAATTTTGTACATTTGTGTATCACTAATGTTCTTTTAATTTGCATGTGGTTATAATCCTTTTTGACTGCAATTTCCAAATCACTTGATAGAAAACTACAGTAGTGATAAATTTTCTTTGTACATGTAACTATCCAGATCTCGATTTCTCCATGTGTGGAGTCTAGAGAACAAGAGTCTTCTTCATGTCATTCAGCTTCCTGCAAAAGTGCGACTTGGAAGGCAACTAGAGTTCATAAACAACAGCTTTGATG